ATCTCTGTGAGTTCAAGGCCAGTCTGGTCTACAGAGTGAGTTCCAGGACAGCCAGGGCTGCACAGAGAAACCCTGTTTCAAAAAAACAAAACAAGCAAACAAAAAAGAAGCCGAGCAAGCCATGGAGAGCAAGCCTGTAAGCGGTGTTCCTCCCTGGCCTCCGCTTCGGTTCCTGCTCCAGGTTCGTGCCCTGACTTCCCTTGCTAATGGTCTCAGATACAGGGTGAAATAAACCCTTTCTTCCCCAAGTTGCTTTTGGGCCTGGGTCTTTATCACGGCAGTAGGAAGCACCAGGACACTGGTCCTCACACTTGCTTCTTTGTGGCTCGGCCCCTGCTCTAGATCTTGGCCTTCCTTGATTTCTCTGCCTGTGGTGCCCTTTCAACACGGCTCATTATTCCCCTCTCTCCTAAGAGACGTCAACCACCTTTTGGGTGGGAGGACCCCAGACCCCTTTTTGACTGTGCACCTGCCCACCCCACATATCTGACACCTTTCTGCTTTGGTTTGCTCCACAGCATTCACATTTTACTTACTCCATCCTCCACTCTCCTAGAAAATAGGCTAAGTGATGCGAGGGTGGGGATTTTGTCTTGTTTCATTTACGGCTGTGTGCACAGTGCCTAGATTAAAGTGTGCTAGTGCCCAGGTGGTGGACCAATGACTGAGTGCCTAGGAGAACCACCCTAGACCACATGTGGACACCCAAGGCCCCTCCTGGTGAGTCCCCATGTGACTCCTGGCCCCTTGCCCGTGCGTAGACCCTGCTCTGCATTGCCTGGTGGGACAGCAGGACTCTGCAGTCAGGCACTTCTCCTTTCTCCTTTGTCTCTGGTGGCCTTCATTCCTCAGAAACTTCATTTCTGGAAAACCAACAGAGCCCCGTGCCAGAAAGGTCTGTCCAACCTCCTTGTTATTTCAGCTGTTTTCAAGGTTCTCTAGGAGGATGCTTGGCCACAGGGAGCCTGTGGGAAGCCAGGGTCAGGTGATTGAGTGGACTTCCAGCACGGGGTTGCTCAGACACCGCTCAGCAGATCTTCAGGTTGCCTTCGCCCATGCATGTCAGCTGAGAGCCTGCTCGTGGGTCCTTTCGCTACCCTCAGCCATGAGCAAGCCTGGAAACGAAAGAGAAACCGACCTTTAACATACCTCGCAGCCTTTAACATACCTCGCAGCCTTGCTTTATAGCTGGGCTCTGGCTGGGGATGTAGGTGATGGACTAGCAGCTGCTTCGCATGCATGAAGGGCTTGGGTTCAACCTCTAGATTCAAAACCAACGAAGTAGGGGTTGGAGAGAACAGGAACTGGTGAGGTTGATTGGCAGTTAAGGTTTGCACTGCTTCTGCTTGCCTTGGGAAAGTGGAGGTCTGGGGAGTTGTTGATACCGGCTTGGTAGGGACCCATCACAGTGAGCCATGCAAGCAGATGGGCGTCCTTTAGTGACGTGTTGAGGTAGGTGGCCCCGCACCTTCCACTGAAGCGGTGAGAAGAGTGAATGCTTAGGCTGTCAAGATTCCCTCTCGGCTCCCGCTTCTGGGACAGAGCTCCTGGCCTGTGCTTGCTCTCTTCTCCTTTTCTGTGTGCACATTTTTCGAGACGTGGGGTACACATGCGCGTCCAGACCAGAAGTCAGCCTGAGATGTCTTTCCTCAGGACTTCCCACCTTGGTTGATGAGACGGGGGCTTTCACTGGCCTGGAATTTGGTAATTCCTAATTTGGTTAGGCTGGCTGGCCAGAAAGCCTCAAGGATCTGTGTGCTGGGAGGAGAAGCCCGGGCCACCACACTAGTCTTTATGTCACGTCCTCATAAGTTCAATTCCCCAGAACCCATATAAAACCCAAGTATTTTACCAACTGAGCTATCTCAAGCACTTTGGCTGTCTCCCTAGCCCTCCTTCTTGAGATAGTCATAAAGACAGAGTTGGGAGACTGACATCGGGTGACATCCCCAGGCGACACGTGGGGCCACTTTCTTTGCGACAAAGAGCTCAGAGTCTCAGCATGACTCTTTACTGAAGCCCGAGGTTCAAGCCCAATCTTCAACCGTCTGGTTTGTCTCTTCCCTTCAGTTAAAGAAAGTAAATACATGATCAGAAAGGGCTTAATGGTCCCCTTGAAGGTCTGGATGTGAAGAAATCCGAGATAGTCTGCTGGCCGGCTGAACTCACTTCCATGCTATGGCAGTTTGAAGTGCGGCGTTCCTGCTTCCTTTTGTAAATCCTCCAAAGAATGTCTTGTCCTGGAACTCCAGAGGAAGCCAATCTGGTTCGATTTCCACTTTAATTTTAGCTTCCTTCTTAAATGAATTTCCCTCCCCCTGGAATTCCTGTATGGCCAGGTCATCCTGAGGTGGATTATTGACCAGAAATGAGGCCACACCGGTGCCCTAAGCTAAGCGGCTTTGAGAAGAAAAGCCTCCCGTGGCTTTTGCTCGCGGTTAAAGCCGGTAGAAGGAGGCTGGGAATTTCCTGGCAGGTGAACAAGTGTTTGGTAAGCACCCTCCTTATTCAAGAGTCTTCCAGAAAGGGAGAAGTCTTTGGGACCTCAAGATCAGCCAACACTACTTGAATCTAATCAAGTGGGAAAAGGACTCCTTTTGGGAAGTGGGAAGAGTTTGCATTTCCAAACACTTGGCCAGATGAGGCACCACTGTTGAGACTTCTGTTTGGTTTGAACCAGTCCTTTGCTTTTATCAGGATCTTCCAGAATGCGTTAGTCCAATCACCCCATCCCCTGAAGCTAGCAATGGGATTAGCTGGTGGGAATGCCCAGCGATTGAGATGGGTAATGGGTAAAGGTGCTTGCCACCAAACCTAACAGCCTGAGCTTGGTCCCTGGTACCCACCTGATGGAAGGAGAGAACTGAATCCTGCAAGCTCTCTTCCGACCTCCACGTGTGAGTGCCATGGCTTGTGTGAACACATATGCACAAAAAAAAACATGTAATTAGTTTTTTTCTTTTTCTTTTTGAGATGGGGGTCTCACTATGCAGCCCTGGCTGGCCTAGAGTTTGCTACAGAGACCAGGCTGGCCTCAAACACGCAGAGATCCACCTGCTTCTGCCTCCCAAATGCTGGGATTGATGAGACATTCCATCATGTCTGGCTCACAAAGAAACATAATTTTTTTTTGGGGGGGGCAGGCAGTGGTGGCTCTTGCCTTTAATCCCAGGACTCCAGAGACAGAGACAGGGGGATCTCTGTGAGTTCAAGGCTAGCCTTGTCTACAGAGAGAGTTCCAGGACAGCCAGGGCTACACAGAGAAACCCTATCTCACCACCACCCCCCCCATATTATTTATTTATTCAGAAATAGCATGTGAAATAGTCCCAGCCTGTAGCATTTTTTTATTTTACAGATTGGTTCATTGATGGCTTCCATGGGTGGGAGGCTGTCATTTGCTCTAGAATTTCAACACCGTGTCACCTTGCGGGTTAGAGCCTGTAAGTAAAGGAAGAAGTGGTTTGACTTTGTTCCCAGCTCTGTCTGCTGCCTCCAGCTGAACGTCTGTCTAGCCCTGGTTTCGGAACTTGGTCTGATGATACATTGCTTTCGGCTCTGTCCACCGGGGCTGAGTCATCGGCCCCTCAGCCATGCCGTTTCCTTTCTCTCCTAGGCCTGGAGTCATGAGATTCTTATTCTCCAAGATCTTTCTATTCCAAGAGTGAACCAAGGACAAATGGTGAAGTCCTCACCTGAGGGCCTTGCTCACATTCATTTCTCAAAGCCAGATGTGATGGCTCACACCTGTAATCCCAGCTTGAGGGGGGTAGCAGTATGAGGATCAGTAATTCAAGGTCATCTTGTGCTGTATACTGAGTTGGCGCTACGTGAGATCCTGTCTTGAGAAATCAGTCCAACAAGCAGAAAATGGTCCCAGCTTTCCCACTGAATTTGCATTTTTCTTTGAGAGTGGGTCTCTTGGAGCCCAGGCTGGCCTTTTACTGGCTATATATTAGAGGACGACCTTGCATTTTAGATCTTTCTGCCCCGGCTTCCAGAATGCTGGGATCCTGGATGTATTTCACCATGCACAGTTTATGGAATGCTGGAGCTCAAATCCAGGGCTTTGTGCATGTGTATGCTAGGCAAGCACTCTACTGAGTTATGTCCTCAGCTCCCAGTTTGCTAATTATATGCATGTCCAAGGGTGAGAATAATTGATTTAATGTTTTTTGTTGTTGTTTGTTTGGGGTTTTTTTGGTGGGATGGGTAGGGATGAAGTCAGGGCCTTGTGCATGCTAAATTGGCACTCTACCAATAAGCCCTAGATTTTCTTGCTAAAAACATCATGCTTAGAATGTACAGGGACATGTTTCTATTAATTCTTTGGAACTTTTTTGGCAGCATTTAATTATGAAAATTATGAACATATAGAAAAAATGAAAGCATTCTACAGAACAGACATATGTTCTCCACATAGAGTCTATTATAAACTTTGTTTTCATAATTATCTTTTTTTCCTAAATTAATTTCTCTGGGGGAGGCTGTTTGTTTGCTTTGAGACAGTATCTTAGGTATCTTAGGCTGGTCTCAAACTAGTTGAAGATTATTTTAAATGTCTGGTTCTCTTGTCTCTACCTCACAAATGCTGGTATTACAGTCAAACACTGACCACACCTAGGGCTTTGTGTAATCTAGGCAAGTGCTCTGCCAACAGAGCTGTGTTCTGAGCCTCCTAGATTAACATATGCCAAGAGTTTCTTATGGAAACATTAGGTCATTAGCATGACCATTATAAACAATTGTGTCTTGATAATGGGACTTTACCTTTTCTTCTAAAATTCTCAACGAGTTTGACCACGTGTGGTGGTGGGTGTGGGGAAGCACTCAGGGATTATCAGACTGTCTTCCGGCTGATAATTCCTCCTACCCAGGGTGCTGAGCTTCAGTATTCCTGCCTATAGCATGGGTGAGGTGTAAGAAGTCATCTGTAATGTTACCACCAATCCTGTTACTATAGGTCTGTTGTAAATATTATTGTCATCCCTGTTTTTCAGGTGGAAGAAACCGAGAGCCAGTTAAGCACTCAAATAAGAAGGAAAACATCTGTTGGCGTGGGAAAGTGATTATTTCCCCAGCTACTGAGTACAGCACAACTGGCCTGGCTGTTTTCTTGTTAGATTTTGTTCTTTCAGGAGACCTTACAGAAACCTCAACCATCTGGATCTCAGAAACTCACTTGGGGCTGACTGTGGCTTTTGAACATCCAGGTGTTCTGCAGATGTGAGAATTTATCCTGTGATCACCAGCTGGAGTCCTAAGCAGATGCAAGACTTGTGTTGTGGCCCTAGCCTCCTCGAGTGCAGAGGGTCACTTATGTGCTAAGTGGCCCAAGAGTGGGGATTGACATTGATAGCCGAATGCTGCACCCAGCCAGTCATCTTATTAAGCTGTGACGAGAAGACATCTTCAGGGGACCAATCCAATTTAGGGTGACACATTTCCTGACTCTCTTGGATTAGGATTCCAGATGGGGACCTTTTCTCTGTAATTCTACCATTCCTGTAGCCATTATTAACACCAGGGTTGTTTTTTTTTTTTTTTTTTTTTTTTTTTTTTTTTTTAAATTTTATGGCCAACTAGAACCATGCTCCTTGTTGGCTTTCTGCACTCAAGGTGAACAAAGAGAAAACTCTTAGAGAAATCTGTGGTGGTGGCCCGTTATCACTCAATCAAGACAACAGGAGTCTCTGTGTGCCACCATGGGCTGGCTTTTTCTAAAGGTTTTGCTGGTTGGCATGACTTTCTCTGGATTTCTCTACCCTCTCGTGGATTTCTCCATCAGTGGGAGAACAAGAGCCCCCCAACCAAACATTGTGATCATTTTGGCTGATGATATGGGATGGGGTGACCTGGGAGCAAACTGGGCAGAAACAAAGGTCACCCCTAATCTTGACAAGATGGCTTCTGAAGGAATGAGGTGAGTCTTGAGAATGCCAAGCAATGCTTTGTGTCTTTCTAGTTTTTCATGCGGGTGTAGACAGTGTAAAATACTTAATTTTTTTTTTTACATTTATTTGCTTTATATGTTTTGCCTGTATGTGCTCATGTGCCTGTTAGACCCTCAGGAACTGGGATTATAGATGTTATAAGCCACCATGTGAGTGCTGGAAATTGAACCCAAGTCCTCTTTAAGGGCAACGAGTGCTCTTATCTAGTGAGCCATGTCTCCAGCTCCCACAAAGCACTTTAATAATCAATTGATGAATCTATGTTGATTTCATTACTTTATTGATTTATTAGATTTGAAGCCAGTATAGTATCACAAAGATATAGCCATATATCCATACATACACTTATTTGCCTATCATCTACCCATATGTCATCTGTTCGTCCATCCATCTGTCTGTCTTTCCATCACCCATCCATCCATCCATCCATTCATCTACCAGTCATCCTCTTGTCCTCCATCCATCCACCAATCCATGTATCCACCCACTCACCATCTATTCATTCACTTGGTAAGATGTATGTATGTTAAGAGTTGAGAATTTAGAGGTGGACAAGACAAACTTTCTTGCCCTCAAGTTATTCACTTTCCAAAAGGGGAGGCGGGTTAAGAGGAAGGTAAGCAATCAAGTCTTACATGTGCTCACACCGGGAGTTTTGGAGTCCAGAGGAGAAGATGTGAGACAGCTGCCTGGGTGCTCAAGGGAGTGGATGGTCTATGATGAGCAGACAGAGCTACTGAGGACACACATTTATTTGTGAGCAGACGCCAAGTAGCATTTAAGGGATGTACATTTCATGGACCATAAAAGGGATTGTGTACGTGTCTGACGGGTGTAGTGTTTATAGGACAGTCATTGAAAAGTCTTGTTCACATCCCAGCTCCTTTCCCTGCTTAGACGGAGAACAAGTGTAAGAAGGGCTTGCAGACTCCTTTGAGGTCCCCACACCCCTTTGGGTCAGTGTTGATTCAGCTGGATGCAGGGGCATGGCTGGCCAGCATTGGATCCTGTCTGTGTTTTGTAAAACCCTACATTTGGCTCAGTGGAAGCGGCTTCAGCTTGTTGCTAGGGACAACCTGGGGAACATCTCCACAGAGTTTCTACCTCATGCCTTCCAATACTCGGATCTTTTCCTTGAGATAAAAGACCCTTGCCTCTGTCTTCACCATCGTGCTCATCCCAGCCAGGCTGAACTTTCTGGAATTTTCTTCTGCCTCCAACCTTTCAGAGACATTTACAACCCAAACTTAACTCCATAAAACATCTCACGAATTGTGTTTCTCCCCTGCCTCTCTGTCTTTCGTCTGACTTCAGTAGTCACCTCCCTGGGTGGGTCACACTTTACTGATCTGTGTGGTGGATAATTCATGTGCTCACTGTCCACTTCCTGTTTCTCAGAGTTGCTGTTTACCACTTAGGTCTCAGTTTACCAAGGGTCACGTGTGCCCTGCTCTTGCAGCTTTACATGAATCTTTCCATGGCTGACCACGTGGGTTGTGTTAAATAGCACCCGCCCCCCCACACACACACACACTCTCTTCCAAATTCATGTCTATCCAGAAACTCAGAGTCTTCACAAATTTGAGTAGTGAAGGATCTTTTTGTTTGTTTGTTTTGTTTTTTGGGACAGAGTTTCTCTGCGTGGCTTTGGAGCCTGTCCTGGAACTCGCTCTGTAGACCAGGCTGACCTTGAACTCTCAAGAGATCCACATGCCTCTGCCTCCCGAGTGCTGGGATTAAAGGTGTGTGTGCCAAAGGATCTTGATGATTCAATAACAATGGGTTTAAGGCGAAGCAAATCCAATGACTACTATCCTTGTAAGAGAAGCCTGGGAGCAGGGGCACAGTGGTTCATGCCTATGATTCTGTTCTAGCATTCAGGAATATTAGACAGAAGGGTCAAGAATTTAAGGCCAGCCTGGGCTACGTAGACCCTCATCTCAAAAACCAAAACAAAACAATGAATAAAAGGGGATACAGAGGCAGTAAATACAAGGATAGAGGCAGAGATCAGAGGGATGTGTCTCTACCAAGGGACACAAGGATGTGTCCCTACCAAGGACTGCGGTCAGCCACAGGAAGTTTGGAGAGAGACAGAATAGCGTCTCCCTCAGCTTCCAGAACAATGGTTTTTCAACCTGTATGTGGTGACCCCTTTAGGGGTAGAGCGACCCTGTCACAGGGGTCCCATATCAGATATCCTGCCTATCATATATTTACATTACAATTCCTAACAGTAGTAAAATTACAGTTATGAAGTAGCAACGAAATAATGTTATGGTTGGGGGTCACCACAACATGAGAAACTGCATGAAAGGGTCACAGCATCAGGAAGGCTGAGAACCACTGCACCAAAAGAAACCCACCCCGCTGACACCTTCATTTAAAATCTTTGGCTTCTGGTTCTGCTGCTTCAAGCTGCCCACTTGTTATTTATTGTGTCTGCACACAGGCCCCTCCTAGCCCTGGGCTTCTGGGGGGGTGGGGGGAAGTAATGTGTCTTTTCTCCACCTCCCCTCCTGGTGCAAGTTCAGGGTTTCCTGCATAATGAGCAGTTAATATCTGCTCACCAATAAATGGACTTTAGAGCCAGGCATCATGGGGCACACCTGTGATCTCAGCATTCTGGAAGCTGAGTCAGGAAAAACAAGGTGTGTGGAACTGAAATTGTTTTTAAAATGTCATCGCTCCTTTTTTTTTTTGGTTTTTCAAAACAGTGTCTCTCTGTGTAGTCCTGGCTGTACTGGAACTCTACTTGTAGACCAGGCTTGTCTAGCCTCTGCCTCCTGAGTCCTGGAACTAAAGGCATGCGCTACTACACCCAGCCCTACTTTTTTGGAGACAAGCTTTCATTGTGTAGTCCTGGCTGTCCTGGAACTCGCTGTGTAGGCCAGACTGACTGACCTCAACCTCACAGAGATCTACCTGCCTCTGCCTCCCAAGTGCTGAGATTAAAGACCTGTACCACCATGCTTCTTGTCCATCTTGAATTTTGCATGTTGAATTTTTTTTCTACTGGGGAGACAGTTACTCCGGACAGATCTCCCCACATAACTGGCTTTTCTAACTGTCATTTTTTAAGTTGAGATCTGGGAGGCCCAGCCACCTCTTTCTCTGCTCCACTGATGCATCACTGTGAGCAGGAGAGGGCCAGGTGCCAGCTCAGTTTGGTGGGAACGCCTCTGTTCTGTCCGCCTGAGCCTGTGAGGTCTGAAGGAAGTTGCTCCGGCGGGAGGTCAGCAGATTTTCATCCTGTCCTTTGGCTACTGGAAAGGCAAGCTTCCAACGGGGCCATGACCGGTGCTGGCTTCTGGGGTCATTCCTCAGATGCTGTCTATGTTTTTATTCCCTTTATTTTTTGAAAAAAGAAAAGAAAATACAATGGGGTGGGCACTCATACTGAGGCAGTGGTTCTCAGCCTGCGGGTCAAGGCCACTCTGGGGGTCAAGGGAACCCTTCGCGGGGGTCACACATTAGATGTCCTGCATATGGGATATTTATGTCACAGTTCATAACAGCAGCAAAATTACGGTTATGAAGCAGCAATGAAAATAACTCTGTGGTTGGGGATCACCACACTCTGAGGAACTGCGTTAGAGGGTCACGGCATTAGGAAGGTTGAGAACCACTGTTCTAAGGTGCGCGTGTGGAGGTCAGAGGACAGGTTGTCGGGGTTGGGTCTCTCCTTCCGCCAGGTGGGTCCTGGGATTAAACTCCAGTAGTCAAGCTGGGCAGCAGCCACTGGCCAAAGATCTCACTGACGCTATTTTTTTTTTTTTGAGACAAGGTCTCCCATTGGCTTGGAACTCACCAAATCGACTAGCTTGGCTGAGCAGGGAGCCCGAGGGATCCACTTGTTTCTCCTGGCCCTCTGGCTAAGTAGTCACCATTCCACTTGAAGTTTTTCTTTAAAATGTAGATTCCGAGGACTGGCCTCAGGTCCTCATGCAGTCCAGGCATACGTTTTCCTGACTGAGCCATTGCCCCAGCCCACCCGCAGGTGTTTTCTGAGGGAGAAAGAGAATGATCAGAGACTGTGAGAGAGGTGCTTGCTGCCAAGCCAGCCCATAGACCCGAACTGCTTGCCAGGCCGAGGCTGGTGAAGCTGAGGGCCTGTGGTGTCCACACTTACTCTTCTGCATCGATTGGCAGCGCGTTCACTTTGCATCTTGCTCTTACGTCCTGCCTTCTCCCTGCCCCCAGTTTAGTTCTGGGTCAAGTCAATGCCGCTGCCGCTAGGGGTTCTGGGCAGTAGCTTAGCCAGGCATCAGAGATCAATAGTCACTACTCAAAGGTCGGAGGCTCCCAGGGACTTGAGAACTGTTTCTAAAACGGGCCTCAGTGAGTAATGAATTGAGCTGTCAATTCAGCCAAGTATCTGGTTTGATTTTTGTTCTAAGAATTGACCACACTCAATCTCCTCCCCCCCCTTCATTTTATCATGAGGACTTGGGGGAGGGTTGTAGTACCCTAAAGGAGGGTACCAACCCTACAAGGGATTGGTGAGCTCTTGCTGTCTGGTACACACTCTGGAAAACAGAGAAGAAATGACATTCTGAGTACAAAGAGAACGCCCCTTCCCAGCTGTGTGAGCGAACCCTCACAGATGTGGGGATGGAAGGACCCTCACTGGGAGAAATCCTCATTTTCCTCTGGCCTTTGCCATCGACTCCAAGACGTTTCCTCTGGCAGTTTCCTTTCTGTCTCCCTGTGAGCTCTCAGCATTGTGGGACAGGCAGCTTTCCACCTTTGCTCTTGGGTAAATAGGTCAAACAAACATCAAAGTCATGTCATGCACACCTATCAACTGGGGCAAGATGAAGATAACAAGAAGGACTGCATGTGAGCTTTTACCTCTCAGCCCTGTTTAATAGATGGGGACATGGAGAAACACGGTGACCTAGATGGGGATGAATCTCAGAAGGAAAAAAAAAAAAGAAAGAAAAGGAACTGAAATATTAACCAGTGGAGCCTTGGTGTCGGCCTGCTTAACCAAGTGTGAGACCGAAGAAGCCCATTCCATTGCTATGATTAGTTGCTCTTTAGGACGCAGGAGCACAGTCCTTCAATAATAAATCTCATGAGGCCACTTCTTACCTTATGAGATACGGACTCCTAATGGCAGATAAAGATAAGAAAAACCTTTGAAATGCAGGACCGGTGTGTTGCTAGAACCAGCTCCCCCTCGGGGGTGCTTTCAGCATAAGCCGGATATAACCGGCTTGACAGCTCAGAGACTGGAGCTAGCACACCTTTTATGTGTGGGTCCCCAAGAGAAAGGAGAAAGGATCCGTGCCGGGCTTCTCACCTTCTGCGTGGTGACCTCGGAGTGACATTGGAGCTCCAGGAAGAGCGCGGTACTGCAGTATCTGTTCCGGCTGCTTTCTGATGGTGTCGAAACACCTAACGCAACCAGCGCACCGCACGGAAGGAGGAGTTTACTTGGGTTCACAGTTTGAGGGCCACTGTGGCAGGGAGTTGTGGCGTCAGGAGTCTGAGGCAGCTGGCCACGGGCAGGAATCGGAGAGGAAGGAGTGCATTTGCTCCTTTCTTTTTGTTCAGTCTGGGACCCCAGCCTAGGGAATGGCGCCACCCGCGTTTAAGATGGGTCTTCCCACTTCAGTTAAGCTAATTGTAAAAAAAATCCCTCACGGACAAGCTCATGTGTTTGTTCCCGTGGCGATGCTAAAAGTGATAGTCAGAATTAACTGTCACAGGCCCCAACGCTAAGTCCGCATTAGCCAAAGGAGGGCAAAGGTGCTTCAGGCAGAACAGAAGGATAGCAGTATTCTAGAATACTTGGAGTTGCTCAAAATGTTATCAATGAAAGCAAGGGAATATATCGTGGGGCCCTCCAGGCAGCTTCATTCAGGGTGCTGCTGATGGAGAGAGATGTCAGGTCTAGGAGGCACTGAGCAGTCCTTGCGTGTTCTGTGGGTGTGCGTGCACACGCACTTACAGTGGGAATGTGGAAAAAGAAGGGCGATTTGCCCAGGACCGCACCTAACTCAGCTCTGGCGAACCTTATGTGAAAACAACAAACAAACAAAACTGGACAGTGAATCTGTGAATGGGGGAGGCGAAGAATAATGAAACGCCAAGTCAGCACCTTTACCCACTGTTTGCTTGTAGTCGGCCAGAGGGCTGTGTGTCTTTTACCAGAGTGATTTAATTTAACAGCCTTCTCAAGAAAGACCCAGTCACCTTCCCATTTAAGAGAAGGTGATGTGGAGGCCGGATTAAACTGTCAGTCCCTTTCACTAGATCGTCTCTGCAGCTGGCACCTCCCAACACTCTTCCCCTGACACACAAAGACCACAGCTGATGATTTAAAAAACCGATTTCCACGCCTCTCAGCCTTTAAATTATGAATGGAACAAGGATGATTTTTTTATTCCAGTCACACAGCAATTTAGATAGTTGCCACTGAGAGCCTCGTCATCTATTTTAAATTCTTTGTCAACGAAGGCTGAGCACGCTTGATCTCTGCGGTCTGGTGTGTCTCTGCGGCGGCGCCCGTGGCAGGCTCTCCAGCCCTCTCCTTCCCTGCTTCTAATACACGTAATTTATGCAACGGCAAGTGGCTTGGCTTCTGTCTAGCTGTGTCTTAATTTGTACTGATTTCCTTGTTAGCAGTCTGCTGTAATGTCTGGCAGCCAGTTTCCAGCTTTGCTTTACAATGTATTTTCAGACTTTAATGAGGACCCCTGTTGGCGAACTGGCCTGAGCCTGCCCAGATAGATTTGGGGAAGAACAAAAAAAAAATAAAAAAAAAAAAAAAGCTTTCCAAATAACAAGGCTGGGCTAGTGCTTATTCATTAGTTCCTACCAAGTGGACATGGTGGCCTGGAGGATGGGATGGGAAGGTAACCTGTGGGCCATGTCTTAAAGCTCTGTATTGAGGGGAAGTGGGGAGGCAGGTACCAGCCAGGCTTTCCAAAGACCCCGTGAAACCACTTGATTTTCTCTTTTGAAGTTTATTTCATGGACCAGATGACCAGATATTCCTGGAGTGGCCTCACTCCACCAAGGTGGTGTGTCTGGGGCCAGAGCTGCAGGCTGAACGCCTTCCTGTATAGCATCCACAATCGGCGGAGGAGCTCAAGACTATATCTTGAGCTGGGGTACATGTGTGCTATAGCGGCTCTCAAGAAGATGACATTAGTATGCTCACAGATACATCACACTCAGGACAGAAGTTACAGATAGACAAGCTGGGGTGACACTTAAAGGTAGTCACCTGCTCTGACCACATCATCAGCTCAGGCTGCTGTAGTAAATACATACCGTGCATGGCTTAGGCAGATCTCTCTTACTGCTCTGGAGCCTGAAAGGGCAAGACCAAGGTGTTAGTATGGTTGGGCTCTGGTGAGGGGTACTCTCCCTGGATCCCAGGAGACACCGTCTTGGTGTGTTCTCCTATGGCAGAGTAAGAGAAAGTGTGATGTAGGCTGTCTTCTCTTTCTGTTATGGTGCCAGGGGTCACATCTATGGCCTGGACAATCTAGGTGTGTGCCCCTGAGCTACAGCCCCAGCCTTTCCCCTCTTTAAATAGGGGTACTATTCTCATCATGGGCATCATGGGGATTTTACCCTCCTGACCTCATTCTAAATCCAATTACCTCCTAAGGGCTTCACCTCTCAAGCCAGTACATTGGCGACTAGGGTTCCCATATGCGAATTAATTTTTTTATATACATTTATTTATCCATCCTTTCCCCTCCCTTTCAGTGTGTGTGTGTGTGTGTGTGTGTGTGTGTGTGTACACGTGCCTGCCTGTCTACACACACTCAAGCCATAGTGGACGCCAGAGGATAACCAGCAGGAGTTGATGCTCTCGTTCCACCATGTGGGTTCTGGGAGTTGAACTTGGCTGATCAGGCTTGGAGGTAAGCACCTTTACCTATGGAGCCATCTCAGCAGCCCCCGCATGTGAGTTTTTAGGAACGTAAACTCTTAGCTCACGGCGCCAGGTAAGAGGAAGTAGTGGTCAACAGCTTTTGAGTACTCCCAGACCCATTGCTGACAGCCCGTCCAGTGGACAGAAGTCCCTCATTGCTGGCAAAGCTAAGCTCTTCCCCGCACTCTGTTTGCACTCCCGTAGCTCACAGACTTCACACTCACCAGCGTGAACTTGGGATTCGGAGTTCCTGTGTAACTTTTGCGCAGAAAGGAATCTTGTTGACCAAGCTGACACTCTAGTTCCCATGCTGTCCTTGGAAGTGAGAGGGGCGTGGCATTCCTGTGTCCTTCTCAAGCTTGTGTGGTTTGTGTAGATCTGAGTCACGTGTCAGAACTGGGACTACCGGGAGTGGTCCTCAGGACAGCCGAAGAACAGCTCCTTGTGACACCATGACCTAGATAATGACATACTCGGTGAGGACTGGCCAGCTTCCACCGGAAAGCTGTGTAGGAGAGAGCCCAAGGACTTGGGTGGGGAGGCATGAGTTAGACTCTACCTCTGTCAGCTACGGGCTGTTGATAGCATCCTGTGCCGCCAGGCGATTGGAAGCCTCCGTATAAAGATGCATCTGTGCGCACACCAGCTCCGGGCTTGGGAAAGCAAAATACCTCAGTGTTCTCTGTAAGTTCCCTCATCTGTAAAAATACCTAGTTTACCGATCGTTTAAAAAAACTAGAAATAGGTGACACTGGGGAGGCATAGGCAGGGTGGATCTCTGTGAGTTCAGGCCAGCCAAGGCTACAGAGCGAGACCCTCTCTCCAGACAAACAAACAAGTATTAGAAACAGAAATGAGGATGTAGCTCTGTTGGTTGAGTGCCTACCCAGCATGCCCAGCTCTAGGTTCGATCCCCAGCACTGCATAAATTTGGTGTGGTGGCACACACCTGTAACCTAGCACTTGGGAGATTGAATCAAGAACATCAGGATTTGAAGATATATACCAACACACCACCACTACCAACACACAGTACATTATCACCACACACCACCACCACACCACTATACACCACCACCTTCACACACCGGCACTACCACTACCTACACACCACCACCACCACCACACACCACATTCCACCACTACCACCACCACCACCACCACCACCACATACCACCATCACCACCACACTACTGCCACACCATTACACTACCACCACACACCACTACCACATCACCACCACAACCACACATCACTACCACCACCACCACATACCCCACCACAACATCTCCAGCTACCTCGTGAGCTCAAGCTCAGCCTGGACTACATAGCAAGACCTTGTCTCAGCGTCTTGGAATACACAAGAGTGAAATTCGTCATCCTGTGTTTGGATCTACTGTACTGTTACTAGAACCACCATGGTGTGCATAACCTCATGCAGGGCATCACTGCATGGACAAGATGTAAATGGTGGCTATTTCTATTGTAAGACAAACTTTAATGCCAAATTTCACCTTTAGTGCTTGGGACCGAACCCTGGGCCTTGTGCATGCCAAGCAAGCGCCCTACTGCTGGGCACAACTTCCTGCTCCCTGCACATAACTTCCTTTGAGGACTGCTTTCTGGTACACCTACTGTCAGAAGGTCTTGTGCTTGCTGTTCTCCCACAGAAGAGCTGCTGACCTTCCTCAGTGAGCCACCAGCTACTTGAGGGCAGGGGTTTGTCATGGACTCCCCATATTTCCAGGTCCCATCCTCCATTATTGACAGTGTAGTTCCCAGGACTCCACAACTGTGGCAGAAATCCAGCCCAGCCAGTCCAAGAACCAAAGGACTATAGGCTCGGCTCAAGGACTTGGCCATGGAGAGATGCTGTTTCAACTCGCCCATTCTCTCTCAAGCACCTCCATGAGACAGGAAACAGAGCTATATCCTTCTGTGCTGAGAATCATGGGAGAAAGGAGTTATTTCCTGTCCCAATGCAGAAAATCCCAGGTGTAGCTTTGTTGTATTTTATTTTGAGACAAGATAGCATTCTGTAGTCTAGGCTAGCCTGGAACTCACTATGTAGCCCAGGCTGGCCTTGAACTAAAGGCACACCTCTTGCTTCAGTCTCCCAACAGCAGGAGCAAACACATTTGACCTCAAGTTTGGATTCTGAATAACCTTGTTTGGGTCCCAGGCTCAGCAAGGTCAGAGGAGGTCATGCTGCTCTATTAGCTCCTGGGAAGATCCTGAGGCCACAGTGTGTCCATGGTGGCGGGTCAGGGAACAGACACAGCAGATCGGTAGGAGTCACATGGAGGTAGGTGTCCCACAGTAAAATGCCACTCATGACTCTAATGGCCTTGGTGCAGATGGTGACAGATGAGTGTGTACCTCAGCTAGAAAGAGCTGTGAAGACGGGTCACAGGCTCCCAAAGTCATCGCTAACTCTCCTGGCACAAGCAAAGGCTGTAACGACGGTAGGTCTGTGTGGGTAGCTAGGAATCTGAAAAGGCAAGAAGAGGGGCGAGCTGAGTCATTATTTCATCCGTTCGTCCTTTTAAAAAGTGTATTTTAGTTTTTTAAGTTTTCATATGTGTATATATGATATGCAGGACCTATTTCCTTCACAGCCTCCTTTTCCTTTCATAGTCCAGTTTGTCCCCCAAACACACACACTCCTCTCTCTCTCTCTCTCTCTCTCTCTCTCTCTCTCTCTCTCTCTCTCTCTCTCTCTCTCTTTCTCTCTGTCTCCTCCCCCTCACTCACTCTCATTTCTAGGAACCTTATGTTTGCGTTTCTGTGACTGGCTGAATTCACTTAATGTGATTATTTTCAACTGTGTCCATTTTCCTGCAAATATAACTTTGTTCTCCTTTCTGACTGAATAACAACAAAAAAAAATTTCATTGTGTACATACAGCACATTTTCCTTATTGTGCCTGTCTTATTGGATACCTTTGGGACAGGGTTTCTTTGCATAGCCTTGGCTGTCTTGGAAGTAGCTCTGTAGACCAGGCTGGCCTTGAACTCAGATATCTGCCTGCCTCTGCCACGAAAGTGCTGGGATTAAAGGTGTGTGCCACCACCGCCTGGCTTAGATACCTAAGTCAATCCCACAATTTCGTTATTGTGAAAATATAGACTGCTTCACAGATTTGCATATCGTCCCTGCGGCAGGGCCATACTTATCTTCTCCACGTTGTTTCAGTTTTAGTCTGTGTGCTGCTGAAGTGAGCACTCTTTAGTTCTGAAACACATGTAGTTCAGGCTAGCCTTGAACTCACTGTGTAGCCAAGGATGTCCTTAAATCTCTCATCCTATGGCCTTCACCTCCCACATGCTAAGATCACAGGCAGGCCTACTCCATCACAGCCAGTTTACGCCAGTGCTGGGCCTCAAAGCCTGGCTTTGTGCATGCTAGGCAAGTGCTCCACCGCTGAGCTCTGTCCCCTGCCCATTCCTTTGGCTTTTTAAGACATGGTCTCGCCCAGGCACAGTGCCCCATGCCTTTAATCCCAGCAGCTCCAGGACAGCCAGGGCTACACAGAGAACTCCTGCCTGGAAAAACCAAAACAAAACAAGACAAGGTCTCACTGCTGCCCTGGCCGGTCTTGAACTGCAGTCCTCTGTCGTCTCCATAGTAGCTGAGACCACAGGTCTGGGCCACCACCCCTGCTGGTTATTTGTCCCTTTAATGCTTTTGAGTAGCTGGAAACCGAGGCCATTGGCGCTGTCTGTCCTGCAGGCTGGAAGTTCAAGATCAAGGTGTTTTTGGGTCATGCTCCTTAGAAATGCTGGGGAGATTCCCAGCCTTCTTGCAGCTTCTGCTGGCTTCAGGCCGCCTGGACTGATTGTGGCCTCACTACAACCTGTCTCCCTTTTCACGTGACATCTTCGTACGTCTCTGGGTTTTTACACTCCATCCCCTCTTGCGGCTCTTCTCTTTGAACAAAGGCCCCAGTTAGATTGGGTAGGGACCCGCTCTACTGCAGCATGACTGTAGTGAAATTAACTACACACGCAAAGGCCCTGCTTCCACAGAAGTCACATTGGAGACACTGGGGTTTGAACTGCAACAGATCTTTTTACATTGATTTGTGTGCAGGTGGGTAGGTGGATACATGTGTGTGCATGTGGAGACCAGAGGTCAGCTTCAAATGTGATTATTCAGGAGCTGTCCACTTTATTCTATTGATTTTTTTAAAAAAGATTTATTTATGCGTGTGCATGCCCATGCGGGGACATTTACCATAGTGCGGGGTATAGAGGTCAGAGGAAACCTGTGGAAGTTGCTTACACCATGTAGCTCTCAGAGATCACACTCGGGTGGTCAGGTATGGCAGAAAGTGACGTTATCTGCTCAACCATCTTGCTGGCCTCTATTTATTTATTTATTTATTTATTTATTTATTTATTTATTTATTTATTTATTTTTGGGGGGTTTTCAAGACAGGGGTTCTCTGTGTAACAGTCCTGGCTAATTTGGAACTGGCTTTGTAGACCAGGCTGGGCTCGAACTCACAGAGATCCACTTGTCTCAGCCTCCTGAATGCTGGGGTTAAAGGTGTGCGCCACCACGCCCAGCAGCCCACTTTGTGGTGATATTGTGTTCCCCAAAATATTGTGCACCCTAATGAACTTATCTGGGGATCAGAGAACAGAACAGCCACTAGATATGAGGCCAGAAAATGGTGGCACACATGCCTTTAATCCTATCACTTGGGAGGCAGAGATCCATTTGGATCTCTGAATTTAAAGCCACACTGGAAACAGCCAGGCCTGGTGACTCACGCCTTTAATCCTAGGAAGTGAGCCTTTAATTCCAGGAAGTGGTGGCAGAAAGGTATATAAGGAGTGAGGACCCGGATCTAGATAGAGCTGGTTAAGCTTTTAGGCTTTGAGCAGCAGTTCAGCTGAGACCCATTTTGGATGAGGACTCAGAGGCTTCCAGTCTGAGGAAACAGGATCAGCTGAGGAATTGATCAGTGAGGGAGCTGTGGCTTGTTCTGCTTCTCTGATCTTCCAGCATTCACCCTAATACCTGGTTCCAGGTTTGTTCTTATTAATAAGACTTTTTAAAATTCATGCAACACCACTTTACTTTTTTTGAGTCTTTATGGGGAGCTGGGGCTCACTCGTTTGCCTAGACTTGGTGATGCCCAGAGATTCTCCCCTGTCCCCTCCCGCAGGTCGGGCTTCCTTGTACATGTCACGGTGCCCTGGCTTTCGTGTGCCACCTCCCTGAGCGAGCTGTCTCCCCAGCTCTCAGTCTATCTTTGTCGAGTTACCACCTAACTTGTAGCAGGCAGTGCGGGCTCAGAAGTCTGAAAAGGTAGGTTGAGGCAGAGCACATTGGTTCTGATGCATAAGCAGATGACAGTCACCGAAGAGGTAGGGACCAGAGATTCAATATCTGGTTAGTGTGCTAAAATGGATTTGAGTTTGACTGGAGTGGGGGACAGCGGCCATGTGGGTTCTGGGGACAGTGGCCATGTGGGTTGTGGGGACAGTGGTCATGTGGGTTGTGGGGACAGTGGTCATGTGGGTTGTGGGGACAGTGGTCATGAGGGTTGTGGGGACAGCGGCCATGTGGGTTGTGGGGGACAGTGGCCATGAGGGTTGTGGGGGACAGTGGCCATGTGGGTTCTGGGGACAGTGGTCATGTGGGTTGTGGGGACAGTGGTCATGTGGGTTCTGGGGACAGTGGTCATGTGGGTTGTGGGGACAGTGGCCATGTGGGTTATGGGGGACAGCGGCCATGTGGGTTGTGGGGACAGTGGCCATGTGGGTTCTGGGGACAGTGGTCATGAGGGTTCTGGGGACAGGGGACATGTGGGTTGTGGGGGACAGCGGCCATGTGCATTGTGGGGGACAGTGGTCATGTGGGTTCTGGGGACAGGGGCCATGTGGGTTGTGGGGGACAGCGGCCATGTGGGTTGTGGGGGACAGTGGCCATGTGGGTTCTGGGGACAGTGGTCATGTGGGTTCTGGGGACAGTGGTCATGTGGGTTCTGGGGACAGCGGCCATGAGGGTTGTGGGGGACAGGGGCCATGTGGGTTATGGGGACAGTGGTCATGTGGGTTCTGGGGACAGGGGCCATGTGGGTTGTGGGGGACAGTGGTCATGTGGGTTCTGGGGACAGCGGTCATGTGGGTTCTGGGGACAGTGGCCATGTGGGTTGTGGGGGACAGTGGCCATGTGGGTTGTGGGGACAGTGGTCATGTGGGTTGTGGGGACAGTGGTCATGTGGGTTCTGGGGACAGGGGCCATGTGGGTTGTGGGGACAGCGGCCATGAGGGTTGTGGGGACAGTGGTCATGAGGGTTGTGGGGACAGGGGCCATGAGGGTTGTGGAGACAGTGGCCATGTGGGTTGTGGGGACAGCGGCCATGTAGGTTCTGGGGACAGGGGCCATGAGGGTTGTGGGAACAGGGGCCATGTTTGTTTTGGATGGCAGCACTGGAAATGAAGAGTCAAGGAGTGATTTACAGGCCAGGAGGGAGAACTCAATGGGCAAAGGCACTCACTAAGAAAGCTTGATTACCGAAGTTCAATCCCTGGAACCCACATAATGGTGGAATGATAGCCAACTCCACAAATTGTCCTCTCTCCCTTTCTCTTTCACACACACACACGCACACGCACCACCACCACCACCACCACCACTAAATAGTTTTTAAAAGTCATGTACACAGCCAGGTGTGGTGGTGCAGTTCATGCCTTGAGAGGCAGAGGTGGGCATCTCTCTGAGTCTGAGACCATTCTTAACCACATAGTGAGTTCCAGGCCAGCCAGGGCCACACAGAGAAACCCTGTCTCAAAAAGAAAGATTTGTACACTAGAAGGTAATGTGATGGGAGAATGTCTTTCTGTGTGCTGTGAATATGTGTTGCTCTGATTGGTTGATAAATAAAGCCGTTTGGCCTATGGCAAGGCAGCTTAGAGGCAGGCGGGAAATTAAAAGAGAGAGACAGGAAGAAGGTGGCGTGGGGAGGGGGAGATGCCAGTGAGTCGCCCAAGGAGCAACATGTAATGGGATGCAGGTAGAGCCAGGGAACATGTGGCGACACATAGATCAATAGTTCTAGGCTAATTTAAGATATAAGAGCTAGCCAGAAAAAAGCTTGAGCCATGGTCACGCAGTTATAATTAATATAAGTCTCTGTGTGTTTAACTGGGGGACAAGAGTGGGAGAGATTTGTCCCGACCTCCAGCAGGCTGGGACACAGGAAAGCTTCAGCTACAAAAATGCCTCAGTTTCTAGGGGTTGATTAAGGAGGTGGACTTGGGAGTTTGGAATGAGGGCAGCATGGGTTCTCTGCATACTGAGGCTAACATGCAGCAGGGACTTGAGGCTGGTGCAGGATCCCCAGCAGCCAAGTGCCATTTACTCCTGAATTTCACTCGCTCATGCATTCCCTGCTCACCTCTGCCTCCTCCCCTTACCCCATGCTGGAATGTTCTTTCTCTCCACATTTGACTAGTGTTACCAACTGACCACGTGAGTTTCGAACGCCTGCTGTGTGCCTGCTAATTGTGTTCCGTGCTTCATCTCTTCGAATCTCGTGTAACCCGGTGAGGGAGGTCCAACTACACTCGTTGTCCAGATCAAGAGAGACTTTTAGAGCAAGGCCCTGTCTAGCCTCGTGTTGGCAGGGGCTGACCCTGATCTGCATCTAGCATTGTTTGTGGACGCTTTTAGCCTCAGCCTCCTGCTTCTCTTTCTTTATTCTCCTTACATTGGACTCATTCTATTTCGTCATTGGGAAAGGCTGTGGTTTCTTTCTTAAAGCTCTCCATCCATCCCCAAGGGCTCTCTCTAGTGTGTGCTGGAGGGTACTCTGCTCCCTAGAATATAGGATGCCACCTTGGCACTTCAGTTGCTCTGGACCCCCCTCCCCACCTGGCTGCCCTGGAGGCTTTCCTGGGAAACTTGTAGCTCATCTGACCTGTCTGTTCAGCTTCCTGGTTGGGAAGGTTACAGAAGGCCTGCGGACCATCATGATGACTTTAGATTTACTTTGATTATAAAAACAAACAAACAAATAAACAACCCCCCTAAAACAAAAAATAGAGGGTTTCCAGTCAAGGACTACTGTTAGCTGCTAAATGCTTTTCAAGATTACTTTGGCTATCCTTCAGAAAATGGAGTGGACGTGGGGAGGGACTAGAGACCAGAATCAGGAGTGGGGGAGCGGGCTGGGTTAGCTATGTACTATTCAGTGCCAGAGCGTAGTGTGTATGGGACTCACTAGAGTTACACAACATGGTGGTCCTGGGAGGCAGGGTAGGATGAAGCAGAAGTCCTTTTGGAGACAGAAGGCTAGATTTGTGTGCTGGTAAATCGGGGTCATCTGGGAAGAGGGCAGCTCAATTGAGAAACTGCCTCCAGATTGGTCTGTAGGCAAGTCTGTGGGGGCATTTTTGATTAATGATTGATGTGGGAGGGTCCGACATACTATTGGCAGCGCTGTCCCTGGGCAGGTGGTCCTGGGGGTATCAAAAAGCAGGCTCAGCAAGTCAGGGGGAGCAAGCCAGTAAGTAGTGTTCCTCTGTGGTCTCTGCCTCCAGGCTCCTGCCTTGACTTCCTGCCCTGACATCTGTCGGTGATGGATTGTGACCCGGGATTCTTAAGATGAAATAAACCCACTCCTCCCTAAGTAGCTGTTGGTCATGGTGTTTATCACAGCAACAGAAGGCTAACCCAGACTTTGCAAACAGAACCGATAGGGTATGCTGGGGAGAAGGAACAGGGAGAGGGGGGGTCCTGAGGTGAGGAGATTCACAGGACATTGACAAGGTCAGTGAGTGCGCCCGGTGTGTGGGGGGGGGGACTATGGTTTTGTTTGTTGTTTTATTTTGAGGCAGGGTCTTGCTATGAAACCCAAGCTTTTCCTAGAACTCACTATGTAGCTAGTCTTGAATCAGACACCCTCTTCCCTCCACCTCCTGAGCGCTGGGTTTCAGGTGTGCCAGGTTCAGATGATACTTTGACTTGAGCTACTGGGTGAGAGGTGGTGATGTTTCCTGAGATAGGGAAGATTAGAGAGGAAGACCAGGCATGCTGGGACATCTCAGAGTCAGGCATTCTTATAGAGGAGGGCAAAGGAAACAACCACTGGTCCTGTAGAAGAAATGTCTGGAGTCTCAGGACCAACAGCCATGTCTCTCTGGCTCTGGGAAGCCCAGAGGGCTGAGGACCACCTGGGGCTTCATCAGATGCTCTGGGGCAGCACTGACTTTGGAGGCATGTGGTCCAGGCAGGTGCACAGAGGCTCACACTTAGAAGCCTCTCTGGATCCCATTCCTTGTCGCCATCCTGTTGAAATGGTTAGTGGGGCTCTGCTTCTTCGTTTTCCCCTGGGCACTGCAAATTGTGCGGCTGGTCCTACCGTGTTGGATGTGGAAGCAACATTAGTAAGCTTGGGCCAGTCCATTCAGAACTACATATTCAAAACAGAATAAACCCAAGGGCAACAGATGCTTATGGCTTAATGTGTGTGAAGTACTTGGAAAAGTGCCCAGGGTTATAATAGGTGTTTTGTGAGCATTCGAGGTGAGGGTTATGAGAATAATCATGAGGATCACTTGGAGTGTGAGCTAGGAGGGTCCTTGTGCTTCAATCTCAAGAGGAAAGGAAAAATGGATGCTTGTTTAGAAATAAAGTTGTGAGCCATGGATGGAATGACTAGCCCAGCTCTTGATAGCTGCCTGCAACATCAGCATCCAAGGTTGCCCTCAGGAGTTTGAGCCCTGTGATCCCAATATGTCTGGCTGCTGTAAGTGTTTGGAATAAACCCATGCTTGGGAATGTTATTCCAGGCACCTGGATACAGGGGAAGGAAGGCCACAAATACATTTTCCTGAGCCTCCAGGAGACCGAGGGGACAGGAGGGAAGTGCTGGCAGGGTGGAGTTCCCTAGTTATGAACCCAGGATCTCCCGGAAGATCCGGAGGGAGAGCCTCACCCAGGTTGTGTAAACCTGGCAGTGTGCGTAGGCACAGGCACCATTCCTGTCCTCATTCTGTCTGTCACAGGGAGGATCAGAGGAGGTATCAATGGCCTGCTGCCAAGAGCGGAGCTTTAGGACTGGAATGTGCTTCCTGACCAGCAGGCTTGGGATCTCACAGCGCCGTTCCCCTGCTCCCTGAGGATGTCCCTTTTTTGCTGTCACCTTAAAAAAAAATCATTCCAGGCTGGGGAGATAATAAAACTCAGTTGATAATGTCCTTGTTTTATCTCTAGAACCTATATATATATATATATGTGTGTGTGTGTGTGTGTGTGTGTGTGTGTGTGTGTGTGTGTGTGTGTAATGTTAAAAAAAAATATGCCGGGTGGTGGTGGCACACGCCTTTAATCCCAGCACTAGGGATGCAGAGGCAGGTGGATCTCTGTGAGTTCGAGGCCGGCCTGGTCTACAAAGTGAGATGCAGGACAGGCACCAAAACTACACAGAGAAACCCTGTCTCAGAAAAAAAAAAAAAACAACATCTGTATATATATATATATATATGTATATATATATGTATGTATATGTGTATGTGTATATGTATGTATATGTATACATACATATATATTTAAATAGAGCCAAATGTGGTGGTAATCCAGGTTTATAATTCTAGTCTCTGGGAGGCAGAGATGTGAAGATCTATGGTACTTCCTGGATAGCCTGGTCTACTCTGACAGTTCAGGTGGATGAGAGACCTAGTCTGAAACACAAGATAATGACTCTTGAGGAGCAACACCTGAAATTGTCCCATGACCTCCACACACATGTGCACCTTGCACATGCTTGAATGCAGACAGGAGCAGGCACACAGACCGACATACACACATGCACATACTTGAACACATGCACACAGCAGCACTCTCTACCCCCTACCCAGACACATCTACAGTTTCAGGGCTGGGTGTGGTGGCATGAACCTGTAATCCCAGGATTCAGGAGGGGAGGCAGGATATTATGACTGAGCCCAGCTTGAACTACATAGAGAGTGTCAGGCCAGCCTGGGCTACACAGTGGGAGTCTGTCTCTCTTTTTATTTTTAGAAGGGAGTTTGATTCAGGATTATCCTGTCTTCTGAGCCCAGGTCTCTATAATAAGAAAGGCCTTATTATAGTGTAAAGAACCAGAGGGAACTGGTATTGTCCAATCATCATGTATTTGGTAGCTCCCATTTTGGTAACTCTCATGCTGGGGGTCTCCAAATATTGTGAAGTAAGGGAGCTAGACATTGCCTAATAATGAAATAACCAACTGTCTGAAGTGTTAATCTATTTAGTCTTATCAATAAGACTAAAGCAAAGGAGCATTCGCTAATGACTTCTTACCTCTTTGGATCCTCAGACCAAAAGGGGGCCGAGATCCTGTTTCCACCAACCTTATATTCCTGTCTCCATCTCCCGATTGTGCTGAGATTAAAGGCATGAGCCTTCCAAGTGCTGGGATCAAACACATGAGCCTTCCAAGTGCTGGGATTAAAAGTGTGTGCCACCACTGCCTGGCCTCTATGGCTATCTAGCGGCTAACTCTGCCCTCTGATCTCCAGACAAGCTTTATTTGTCAGAACACTAACAAAATATCATACAACATGCCTCCACCTCCCCCCACCTGTACTAAACTTCAGACATCAACCATTTTGTTGTAGCACAGGACCCTCTTTGCTGGACATCTCTCAATCTTATAGTGTGTGAGCAGGTGGTTAGGATGGAGGTCAGGAATGGCTTTGTTCATAGGGCTGCTGTCTCCATGGTGATGACCTCAGCCCAGGTCATTGGCCAGAGCATCTATAGATAGCCTTTCCAGTATGGTGGTCTCATGATGTTCCTACGTTTTATATGATGGCTCACTGAGTGTTTCAAGAGAGAAAGTGGGAACTGCCAGTCTTCTAAGGTCAGAACCCAGAAATTAGCAGGATCACTTCCATGCTATTCTGTCAGTCAAAATACAACCACCAACCTGCTCCAGATTCAAGGGAGGGGACATAAATCCCACCTCCCAGTGGGAGGTATGTCAAAGATTATTCCACAATTGGCTAGACATCTAAGTGACCCTGATAGCCAGAGGCTTCCCCAAGCTCCCACAGTCAGAACAAGAAGTGGCTAATAGCTCAAATGACCTCTGTGCTATCTGTATGACTGAGATCAGGACAGACCCTTAGGCCCTTAAGTTAGTACAGACAACCTATCTCTAGAACCCATCTTCTTGGAAGAAATGACATGTACCCCGAGTTGGGTTTCAATATAGTTAGCACTTTCTTGTGCAATGAGGATTGTATCACACCAGGAAACTTTTTTCCAAATTGTTCCGGGCTTAAATACACTGGGAATAAACCGCCTGTCATTAGACTCCCTGAAGTCTGATCCAGGTTGACAAAGTCACTCTGCACCAGGTTTTCATTCTTACCTTTTCGTGGGGTTGTCTTCCCTGTATGATACCTGCAGGGACCCCTCAATGGCTCAGTGAATAAAGTTGCTTATCACCAAGTCTGATAACCTGAGTTCAATAACCCCAATCCCGGGACCTACATAGTGGAAGAGAAGGACTGCTTCTGACTTCCACACATCATCGTGGTATACCTGTGCTCCATCCTGAGTGCAAAATAAGTAATAAATAAAAATGCAATAAAGAAATAAAGGCAACAAGGAAAGGAAAAGAAGAAAGGAGTCCACACTGGTGGTGTGAAGAACTCGTTTGCCCTCCTGGGCCTCTGTCTCTCCAGATGTCAAGGTCATGGTGAAGGGCAGGGACCCTGAGTCCTGTTTGCTTTAGCTAGTCAGGTGGCATCTCCATGGGGATACCCAAGGAGCGTGAAAACATCAGGGACTCAGGTTTCAGCTTATTTTGGGGTCTCGGCAGCCAGAGAGAGGCTACCTATGTAAGTGATGCCCATCTTGTTTCTGTGTGTGTGTGTGTGTGTGTGTGTGTGTGTGTGTGTGTGTTATGCAGATGTGTTTATATGTGTATGGATGCACATACCCATGCATGTGTGTGTGGGAAGCTGTGGGTTGATGTCAGTTGTCTTCCTCTGTAGCTCTATGTGGTGATATATTGTGTACTCTAATAAAATTTGCCTGAAGATAAGAGAACAGAACAAGCCACTAGATTAAACATAGATGCCAGGCAGTGGTGGCACACGCTTTTAATCCTAGCACTCGGGAGGCAGAGATCTGTCTGGATCTCTGTGAGTTCAAATCTATAACCACAGCTCCACACTTTGGCTTTTGAGCAGAGTCTGTCACGGAACCTGGAGGTTGCTGGTTTGGCTAAGCTGGAAGGCCAGTGACCACCCCCAGGACCTTCTTGTCATGTTTCCCGAGAACTGGGATTACTGATGTGGACACCCAGCTTTGATGTGGGCGCTGCAAACATTTTACCAATGGAATCATCTCCCCAGCCCCCACGTCGAGATGTTTCAATGCCACATTCCAGCCTCCACTCTGGGCCAGCCCTTCACCTCACCCAGCCTCAGCTTCCCTTCCATGCTGGGTCGCTGAGGTCTTTACAATCTGGACACTGTGAGGCCTGGAGGTGACGCTACCCTTTAAGCCATCTTTCCCTCCCTTCAGCAGGGCCCCACGAACCCTCTGTTGATGCCATAGTCATCCTAGACTCAGATCTCCATAGGTTAAAACAAATTTTCATTAAAAAAATGTTAAGCACAGAAACACAAAAGAAGAGTAAAATACATACCAAAATACGGATCCACCTGAAGCATTTTGCTGTTTTGTTTACATTCACAGCTCTACCTGTAAATACACTCTCTGAGTCGTTGAAGGATGAAAACATCACGCCCCTTCGTTGCAGATAGCACAGTCTGTGTCTCTTTAGATAATAATGTTGGGGATGGAGAGATGGCTTGGGTTGAGAGCACCTGCTGTTCTTGCAGAGACCCAGCTTTGGTTTCTAGCACCCACAAGTGACTCACAACTGTCTGGAACTCCAGTTCCAGGGGATCTGATGTTGCCCTCTGGCTGCTGCAGGCACATCACAGAAGCGGTGCATACAGATGCACACGCAAGCAAAACACTTGTACACATACAATAAATCTATCTTTTAAGAAGTGTTCTTTCACATGCCCATAGTGCCATTATTAACACTAAAAATGGTCAGTAATCCCCTCACATCTGAAATCCACTTCACATTAGAATTTCCTTCCCTCCTCAGATGTGCCGTTAAATGTATTTGAAGTGAGATCACTGCATTTGCTTCTCTCTTTGGTTTCCTGTCATGGAGACTGTTGCCCATCCCCAGTCCCGGTCCCCC